TTAAAATATCGAAAAATATACAGCGCGCGAATTTTAAATGAGAATTTCCGAAAGCTTTTCGGTCACAATGTATATCGATACTCATTTAAAACCATTCAATTTACGCTTAAATAAACGCTTTTTATAAACTTCAATGATATCACACATTAGAATACGCACAGCAGTGCCGACTAGAATCCAATGCAAAAGAGCTTGAGGTGTTCTAGAGAGTCCTACAATGTTTCACAATAAACAACAAATTTAGAATTACAGAGCCGATCGACTAGAATTGCAGAGATAGACTTTTGGGGTTAAAGTATTTTTAAGATTTTTTTATAAAGAATCGAAAGGTACTCCATGTTGATTTCTGGATATGTTACAACTAAGATGAAGCGGTTACAATAGTTATATTATAACCTTTAAAAATTTATGCTGAAATATTTTTTGATAACTATATCTGCATACCCAATTTTACCTAGTTTTTTAGATAAATTACTTTAATTTTTGATTTGTGAACCACGGAAGTACTACATATCTGAAATAATTAAGGATCGAAAATAAGTCAGTTGCTTTTTAAAGAGATAATGAAAAATTTAAACAATTGTCCATTTTTTTAAAACACACTAAATACAAATCTCGAACACCAGGAACATCTTCCTGGGGGCGTAAATGGTGCCCCCAAAATATCTATGACGTCATTTACACCAATATAAGAGATTGTCACCATTATGTGGAATTTTACTAGGAATTACCATTGAAGTTTCTAAATTATATTTCTAAATATACTCCATAATCCTGTATTCCTCACTAAATCAGCTCACGTTAAAAAACTGATTTTCATCGCTCATTAAGTACATAAGCTAATAACGCGAAATCCTATTAAAAGATTTTTGTAACTTTCAGCTATAATGTAGTAAATGATTTTTAAAATTAACATTGTTTAATGATATGGAAAGCCTTGATATTTCAATAGAGAATTGTGCCCAAAAGAGAACTACGATAAAAAAAATAAGGTTTTGAAGTCTGTCTCTACGTCGACTTTGATATAGAATGATCTTTTCTCACCAATAAAACAAGTTTAAGTTCATATAATTTTCAAAGAAGAGGAAGTCACAGTATACACATAACATTATTAAAAGGTTCATTAGAGACTGTATAGTTTAATAGCAAAGCAAAATTCATATAGAAAACTTTTCTTTTATAACTGATGTATTAAATTCTCATTACAATGTTCGAACTCAATCAAAGAAGTTAACAAACCATATTTTTCTCAAAAACAAAAAATTCTAAATAGTTAAATAATATCCTGAATGCTTTTAGCACATGAAATACTCTGCTAAAAAGTCGACTATTTTGAGTGTCTCATCCTATATACCGGATAATCTTTGAATCTCACAAAATTAAACTCTAACAGATTTAAATTTTAATCAGTTGACCAATAAATGCAAGAAATTTATGGTAATTTGTCCTGAATGCTTTCAGCACATAAAAAACTTTGCTAAAAAGTCGACTATATTGAGTATCTCATCTTATATACTCTCATAAACGCAAATAATGTTTTCTATACTGTACTTAGAGCAATATAATCATGTCACGAATTCGGAGCAAAATATTCTAACTTAAATAATCATTAGTGCTTTGCAAGCCGTATGTAATTAAATCTAATTAATTATTGTAAATAAACTGAGAAATTAAATTGACTATGATAGTTTATAGTTAGCAAATTTAAACTTAACCCGTTCAGTCATCATTCGCTTTTTAAATTATTTATAGGTAGTAACTTATTAGAGAAAATAAATGATATTAATTTATAATAACGATCACAACAATTTAAAACAGAAAACACCAATAGTTTATAAATTGGTTTTTAGTTTGCTTTTATCCATCCACTATCATTTCCAATCATGGATCCGCATATTTCTTACATGAGCTTGTTTCCAATTATTAACATGCTTCCCGAGCTTATATTTGTCTTATATTTTGGAGTGTAGTTTTTATTGAAAATTACACTTAGAGCTTACAACTAAGCCAGTATTTTTGAAATTTTACAATATTTTCTTCTCCACATTTCAGCAGAGATATGTTGAACACTACATTAGATACTGTCATTATCATAATTAGTACTGTTCATTAATGTAACATAAACATTTATTTATATTCAAAGTATCTTCATCATTTGTAACTCTAGTTAAATATTCTATTATGCTGTAGTTTTGTTGATTTCAGCGTATATGGTGTCCGATTGCTTGAAGAATTAAATCCATCTTTCTTTTATTATAATGTCGCCAACCTTTTCATGATTTAGAAATGTTTTATAAAAATAGTAGTAAATACCGCAGTTAAGATTCACTTTATACATATATAGGCATATCTTTTGTTATCACATTCATCTTTATATTTACTTTGTTACCGGATTATTAGTAAATATAACTATTCAATTCAGTTACAGAATATTGTTATAATTAATGTATTTCATAATTCTTAAGTGAACTTCGTGTCCCATGGGATAGATTGCCACTAGGGGGGGCTACAAAAATGTTTATTAAAATATCAAGGTATATTTCTTGGCAGATGAGAGTATAAAATTGAAATAATAAGTTTATTGCATTTATATATAAATAATTATATATAGATGCATTTATATCCTTGATGGTTTATTGTAATTGTTTCCTTTGTAATAGGTACATGTTACCAATAGCTTCAAAATAAGGTAGTGCTCTTCAATACCAATACTTAGTGGATATCAAAATGTATGTGTAAAGAACTGCAATGAAGAGATACGTTTTTAATATAGGTATGCATGATTTATTAATTAATTTAATAGTACGAACTATAGTTGGGTACCTTATTTAATAAAATCACATCCTTTCCATGCTCCATTAAGTACTTAACTGAATTAAATTGCAATATTTATATTCTGAATTAAATACAGAGTCAATATAATTCCTTAATATCTGTTCAAGACTTTTAATTTAATTTGTTTAAATTAATTTAATTTGTTTTTAAAAAATCCTTATTCGAATAGCAACTGAAATCTAAACCATTCAACTATCCACGAATGCTATTAACATAAAAAGTTTTTATCTGGATGAAGTTATCAATTTTTTATATCTCCAAACAAAAATTCTACGTATTATTGTTTTGCACACACACACATATTTTCCAAATAAATGCAAATATACATTTATACTAATTAACATTTATACTAATTAATATATATTTTGTGATTAACCGTACACAATAATAGCAAATATTTTTCGTTCAAGTCTGTTGCTTTTAATAGTATTACATAACAAAAACTATGCACAACAACAAAATTTTATACAATTGTTAGTTTGCAATATTTTCCGAAATTTGTTGTATTAAATAAATTAAAAATAGACAATCTTTATATGTTGAGAGGAAAATTATACCCACACACTGTAGTTTAGAGAATGGCCAAAATAATGGTCAAAAGAGTCGAAGCACCAAGCATTGCATAACCAGTCGTGTACACCTCGCTAAGCTTCAGGAAAAGTCCACCGTCCCATAGCAAGTGACGCACGCCATTGCAAGTGTGATACGCAAACGGGAAAGCAATGAGAGCCTTTACTGTACCAAGCGTAAAACCACTCAAATGCAAACCTTCCATCATAGTAAAGTAATGGCATGCATCATGAGACGAAATCAATGCGCCTAATCCTAATCCCCAAGCCATAATGCCAAGTGCAAAACCAGTACCGCGATGAGTAATGGACAGCATTGAAGTCAATTGTGGCTTGTAGATAGTCAAATGTGGAGACATTTCACGACCAAGGCGTGTATTTTTCTCATCGTACGACTCCTTCTTTAGAGATGTAGCCGGTTTTATCTTAATTGTCACCTGACGAGCGAAATTTGGCTGCATCATTTGCAAGCCTTGGCGTAAAGCGGGTGAACGAACAAGGGAACGTGATATAGCGAACCTGAATAAAAAACATTATTTCATTTTTGCAATATGTTAAAGTATTTACTTACATTTTGATGCCGTAATACACCACAACACAATCTCTCCTTTTGACAGATTAATGAAAATATTCCAAACGTTTATGTTGGTAATGCTTAAATGTCAAAAGTTGTCAAAATCAATCTTTTACAAATTTTGGACAGAAAACGTATTGCCACAGAATTCTTTATTTATTGGAATTTTTGATACGTTACGTATATGTAGAAGACAGAAAATAAAAATATATTTTTTTTTAAATTATACATAAAATTTTTCAAAATTGTATTGACTACTTTGATTACTTTTTAAAATATATGTATTAAATATTATATTATATATATATGAAATTATGAATTTTGTTTTTGTGAGATGAAAAAACTTCATCCGTATTGTCGATAATGCTATAGAGTACAAATACAATTATGTAAATTATGTCGGTATGGCAGCGAATGTTGGTATTTACCAGAATTTCGAGTAGGGTAAATTTGTTAAAAATTAAGTGAATTATGTGTTACCATTGTGAAAATTTTATAAGATGTGCACTAAATAAATAAATAAATTTGAAAAGTTTTAACCAAAAATAATAAACAAGTGCAATAAATAAATAAATAAGTATTAACGTAAGAGCAGCGCAAAAAATCCCTAGGAAATTTTACCTCAATTTACTGGAGCTCACATACTGACATACTATGATACTTATATAAGTTTACTCTATCAAATTTGAATAATTTCCACTTTCATTACGATAAGAGTAATTTGCATACATAAATATACGAATTACAAACATATTTATTGTTTAAAAACTTTTTTGCACATGGAATGCTATATCTTCATAATCCAACTTCAAATCTATAAATAAATTTGTTCTTCACTTTTAAAAATTTATATTTAAACAAATAAAATAAAGTCATGATTAATCGTTTTTGTTTTCTCGTGTTTCATTATTCGTTAAAGACTTAAATTTGCAGGAGGCAAGTTGTTTTTAAATTTGAACATTATAAATATTAATTTTTAAAATTAAAAATTATTAATTATTCACTTACGAATAACTCGTTCAGTAGAAAGATGTTACAAGTGAATATTCCTTATTATGTCCGATGACTTCTATTATCTTGAAATTGTAACCTTCACAAAATTCATAGTACAAATACGTTATATATAATAGCATATGATATTTCTACACCAAATTAATACAAAATCCTTGTATGAATGTGTGAAATAATCACCTAATTAATTTTTCAGTTATATTGCCTTAGTATAAGCTACTTCAAAAAATTCAAATTTGAAAATTACAAGATAAATTTTGATAAAAATAAAGAGGTAATTATATGGCGCTTACACTGGCCGAAAATCGCTCATTTCGAATGAACCATTTGAAAGTGTTTACATTCGTTGTAATTAATTTGTTCCTATATTAAACAGCTAAATTTTCAACTTACCTGTTGATTTGATTTTGGCCTGTGCCAAAAAAATGTTGCATAAAGGCTAAATATACCTTCAAACCTTACAATATAAACTGAAAACATATTTTTAACTTCGATTACGGAAACATTTGTTTACCTTTTTTTTTGTAAATATGTCAAAAACACCTTTCTCAAACTGTCAAAATGCCATGAAAAGCTTTTATTTAGGATATGTTCAATGTATTCATATGCATTTGGAACATATTTGGAACTCATTCTAACATCGTTAGAACTCATTTCTACAGAATGAGATCCAATGGATCTCATTTGCGCTTGAGATTTTGTATGCAAAAATGAGTCATTCGCTTCTCATTTTCGATTTTTGAGCAAAATGAGCCGTTTGAGACCAGTGTAAATGCCGTATAAAATCAAGATATCAAGATAATTTCGAAACAAAAATATATTGTAAACATAAATGAAATAGTGAGTATGAAATACAAAAATTGTAGACACTAAAAATTAATAAATTTAAATAAAAGAAAACAAAATGAATATTAGAATGGCAACGGTAAACATTTTTATCTTATATATTTGAATTAGTTTATTTATTTATGTATTTAAAATTTTTAGTAAATGAATTACTCATTTTAATTACTCATCTGATTTTAACAGATCACTAAAATTTTACAACATATTTTCAGTGAACATTCACATTAGATTCATATTTGAAATAAGCTGCACTGAAACTTAAGACAAACATTTTTTGCGAGTAAAACCTAACCTTGAAAATTTTTGGTTTTTGCTTTTTGCTTTGTTGTTGCTTTACATCTTTCCTTCCATAATTTTTATATATTTTTTTGCTACTCTGAAACAAAAAATTACGGTTAATATTCAAACGCTGTTTTGATTTCGCTGTATTTACAACTTTTAATGTGATTTTTCAATCTGGCATCTCCAATAGTAGCCGCCATTGCTAAAAATTTCTACTGACAAAAGTGAAAAGTTTCCTTCTTCTTTCTTTCTTTTTCGTTGAAGTTGAGCGTGGCAACGTGTCGGACGGTCGTCTCGGTTTGAACAATCTGTTGAAAATTAGTAAATAATTTAGTAAAAAAAATACATTCAACATGAAAATCTACAAGGATATTATCACTGGCGACGAAATGTTTGCTGATACCTATAAAATGAAGTTGGTGGATGAGGTCATATATGAAGTCTACGGCAGACTCGTTTCACGTACCGAAGGTGACATACAAATTGAAGGTTTCAATCCATCAGCTGAAGAAGCCGACGAAGGTACCGATTCTAATGTTCAAACCGGCGTTGACGTTATCCTAAACCATCGTTTGCAAGAATGTTTTGCTTTTGGTGACAAAAAATCTTTCACATTATATCTTAAAGATTACATGAAAAAAGTCCTAGCCAAATTAGAAGAACGCGCACCTGATCAAGTTGATGTGTTCAAAACAAATATGAACAAAGTTGTAAAGGAGATTATGGGACGCTTCAAAGACTTGCAATTCTTCACTGGCGAATCGATGGATTGTGATGGCATGGTTGCTATGTGTGAATATCGGGAAATTAACGGCGAAAGTGTACCAGTACTAATGTTTTTTAAACATGGTTTGGATGAGGAGAAGTGTTAATTTAATTTAAATTATGTATCATTTAATGCAGTAAATCAATTAGTTTAATTTGCTCTTTTTATTTTGGAAACCTTTTATTATAAATATGACTAAATTTAAAATCATTTAATATTATGTAAACGAAATTTGTAATAATTAAGAATTTTTGTATACTTCTCCGCTCTATATTATTGCCTGAGTCGTCGACCAATTTATATTGTAATTAATTAAATCAGGAACATCAACATACTCAGATCAATTGTAACTGAATTCTTTTGTATTGTATTTACTAGTTAACATTATCAACAGCAATTGTACAATTAAAATCGAAAAAAACAGAGAATTTAAAAAAGATGACTAAAAATAAACAATTGATTCCCGACATTCAAAAATTTTGTTTTATCTTATATAAAAAAAATCGCATTTTGCGACTTACGTTGGTGACTCATTAAAAATTACAATACGAGAACAGTTGAATACTAGAATACAGAAGCTGACACAATTACAAATTGAAGCCAAAGGGTACCTTGAACTTTGGAAGCATCACATAGTTGTTGTTATAGGGCTTCTTTTTTGTTATTGTTACATTTTACTACATTTACATTCAGTAAATGTTATAGCTGCGCAAATGCAGTTCTGGATTTTGCCCTAAATATTTTTTGCAAACGTGCAACACACTAACCTAACCTCAATTGCAAAAAATAATCAAGAATAGCTATATTTAGCAAATCTATATATGTATATATTTATATTGCATTGTTTTTGTAAAATAGTAAACAAATTTCTGTTTACAATTGTTGCCATGTCAGTGCGTCATGTTGTTGTTAACCTCATATTGCTGAGCAGTTTTATGCATTTCTGCATTATTATTTGAAAAGGGACTTGTTGCAGCTGCGAGAAAATGCTTTGTTGGGAATTAAACAAAAAATTTTCCGAGAAAACGCCCTTCTTTTTGCAGCTGCTGGTAATGTCGAATAAGGTCAGGTAGCTTAGATTTTCATGAAAATTAATACAATGCCTTTAAAGTTCGGCTTATCTTTCTTTCGTTCTGTGTCAGTGTTTGTTCTTAGAATTGAACACACACATTGAAAGAAGGTGAACAATTATTCTAAATTTGGAATGCTGCAGGAGTGGGCAAACTTTAAAGAAGATGCATTTTTTAGAAATAATATTGTTTATCTCTTTCAGAGAAAAAATGTTTCTATAAATTCAGAAAAAATATTTTCATGTTTCGATACACATACAATCAAATACTAATGATTATTATTTAAGCATGACAACGATTTCTGTAGCGTCGCTATACCTAAATATTCTTAAAAATTATAAACCATTAGCTTAAAATCATGAAATCTTTAAGATAATTGAACGAATTTATTTGAAGAAATGAATTCACCTATCAAAGCGATATATAATTTTTTGTTAAAACTCAATGTTGCATGAACCATTCTGTTAAGTGTCTGGCACAAGGTTCTTAAAAATATTTAGTTTTTTTTAAAAGCCATTAGCTTAATGTATTTTTCAGTCACTTATAAAAATTAAAATAGTTCAATTCAACAGAAAAAATAAAATGTCTGAATAATATCTTGATATGTCTATCAGTAAGAAAAGATATCACAACCGAATTACTTTTTCAACATCTAGAAGCATGGTTATATTAATAAAAATTCAAAATTTGAATGGAAAAGCAAAAATATATAAAATAAATTACTCGGCATATTTGTTCTAAAGTGTGAATTTTAAAATAATATGTCTCTTTATAACTTGAAAATATTAAATTAAATAAGTTATGCCACATGCTAATGCTCTTGGATTAATGACCTTCGTCAATATAGAAATTATCTTATAACCATTTAAGTAGCTAATGATTTAAATTTGATTTTACAAAACATCGCATTATATCTTAAATTTGTTCAAAACTGTCTGCCATAATAAATGTCTGGAATAAAGTAAATGAAAAGAAAGACATGCATATAACGCCACTCTTCAGCAAGTTCCTTTTTTCCAGCGAAGATAAACATTCCGTACAACTGAAATATCAACCACTTCCACAATTAAAATCAATTATTATTATTATTATTATTATTATTATTATTATTATTATTATTATTATTATTATTATTATTATTAGTATTATTATTATTTTATTTATTATTATTATTATTATTATTATTATTTTTATTATTATTATTATTATTTTTATTATTATTATTATTATTATTATTATTATTATTATTATTATATTATTTATTATTATTTTATTATTATTATTATTATTATTATTATTATTATTATTATTATTATTATTATTATTATTATTATTTTTATTATTATTATTATTTTATTATTATTATTATTTTATTATTATTATTATTATTATTATTATTATTATTATTATTATTATTTTTTTATTATTCTTATTATTATTATTATTAAGAGAAGGGATTGTGCACTACGACCTAAAAGATCTATTGTGCCCTTTATTCGGGTTAGAGTGTTGCTCCAAATCCGATTTCTTTAAAGAAAGACAATATAGAGCCTGCCTTTCCTAGTCTTGAGTCTTTGTGATCCTTGAAATACCCTCCTAGGTGTTTCTTCCGCTTGTGCATCAGTGCCGGGCACTCCCCAAGCACATGATATGCAGTTTCTCTCTCTTCTCTACAGTATTAATAAATTTTCGATTAAAGAAATAAAGCAAATAATGTAATTAAAATTATTCATATATAAACCACTTTGTTATTTATACACAATAACAATCAACTATGTAATCAAATATTAGTAGTTATTAAATTAATACCTAATTACTACAAATTTAAGAGAAAAATGTGATACAAAATATGAGATTATTATAGTACTTGATATTTTAAAAATTAACAATTTTTAAATTTAATACAAATATTTTCGAAAAATTTTAGTATGTTTATTAATTACTTTCAAAAAATGTAAGGCAAAAAATTAAAACATATAAAGGCTATGCCGGAATTTCATAGAAAGCTAATTTTTTTTATTTTCTTTTTCTGTTCAAAAACTATGTAAACGTTTAAATTTAAAATTGTATACTACGTTTAAATTGTGAGATTCAAATAACGAGATTAAGTTAATCTGCATTTTTAATCTCCACCGTTTACATTATACATTGGAGATTAATTTTGACGTTTCTCTTGCTGTGTTTTGTTTCGTGTGTTTAATAAAATTCTGTAAATAAAACATTTAATTACAATGTCGTACAAAAAAATCGTAATATAAATTTAATAAATAGTTTAATAACAATAATTTAACAAATTTTAGTTATAATTATATACAAAACTATTATTAAAATAATATATTAAAAATTTACTACAAATATTTAATTGATTAATAAATATACATTAATTTAGATTTAAAAAATTTCAAAATTTATAAATCGGTAAGGACAATTTATAAAATTGTATTGTATTTTCAAATTTTCAATATTTGTTTTGAATAGATTTTGATGTTTCTTTTCCAATTCTTCTATGATCGTAAAAAATCTATAATATTAAGCCAGTTGCAGAATTGCACGGAAAAATAATTACCATTTTTAAGGAAATTAAAAATTAATCTCCACCAAAAGGAGATTAACTTTTGTATGGAAAATCTAAGATTAAACAACAAGATTAAAAGTAGATTAGTGCTTTAATCTACTTTTAATCTCACAATGTAAACGCCGTTTTAGACAAAAATTGGTGAAATGCAATTAATTAAAGTTTTTTTTTTAAGGATAAATTATGAATCATGTAGGATACACGGAAATTTAAACTTACTATTACAGATGCACTATTTCTATAAGAAATTATCTGAAAGTGGTATCCTGAGGGACTGTTTAGTCCCTTTTATAACTAAACAGTTTTTCGCAATAGTTTTACAACACTGTTTTAGATGCCGAAAAATATCCACCAACACAACACAAATTGTTTACACTAATTGTATACATTTTTTTAAGTGTTCGCTAGTTTTTAAAAACATAATTGGCAGTTTTTAAAATTAAAATAAATGAATAAATCGCAAAACATATTTCATTATAAAGTATTTAAATAATGGCAGTTTATGATTCAAAGGAATGGCGAGAGTTTTTCGACACATACGCCAGCCTGAGTGAGCTTTGGCTGCCAAGTAAACGGGAAAAGAAAAAGTCACGTGAAAAAGCCTGGAAAGTATTACTAAAAAAATATGAAGCTGTAGATCCAAAAGCTGATGAATCTAGATTGAAGCAAAGAGTGGCTAGTATACGCTTTTGCTATAAGCGCGAGTTAAAAAAGGTACAAAAAAGTCTATTAAAGGCTGTAACAGAGGATGATATCTACTCTCCGAATTTATGGTATTATGATAAATTAGAATTTTTAAAGGATTATCTTGGAACACGCTCTACCAATTCACATAAATCTGAAATCAAGGAACAAATTGACGAAACAAGTTTTGTATGTTTACTTTGATAATAAGGCGTGTATAATTATTTTAATATTAATATAACTTTTTTACGTACAGACCGATTCAGATTCGATGCCCAATTTATCAATTCCGGACCCATACAGTAGTTGTAGAGAAGAAACCATTAACATCGTTCCTAAAGATAATGCAATAACATGTGCAGAGCAATATAAACAAATGGATGATGCTGATTTTTATGCATCTTGTTGGGCACGTTCATTTTCAAAATTATCTACTTTACAACAAATTTATGCAAAACAAGCAATAGATGAGATACTCATACGTGGTCAACTACAACAACTTACACAAAATTATTTGGCTCCAATACCTGTTCCACAAGTTGCTGGATATTTATTAACAAAAAATATTACAACTGCACCAATTGTATTTCAGACTTAAGGACTTATAAAACTATTAAACAGTGTTCTCACTGTTTTCTAAATATTTCAATAGAGCTTACATTATTAAAATAATATTTTGATCTCATATTTATAATTATTAATTTATTTTAGTTTACTTTTTATTAATTTATAATAATAAATAATCTCTTAATTAAATAAAAGAATACAATTATTTTTCGAATAACACAGTTTCTTAAACTTTTTCAACACGGAACATTGAATCTATACCATATTGCGCAGGAAGAGTTAATACAAAATATTGGTATTACAATAGACTCATAGGACCTAAGTGAGTTAGTCAATTAGAACGACTACAACACTAACCTAGTCTATCCAATATACTACATTTAATACACAATAATATACTAACTTTTCATGAAGCGCTGAAAGTACGAGACACAGGGAACTTGTATTATTTGTAACTAAAATGGTATATTTCACTATATCTCAAAAAAATTAAAATACAACTGTTGATATTATTCATACGGAAAAGTGCGAACGGCACTTGGTTTGATAGATCGGGCCTCTGTTGGAACAAAGTTTCTTTGATTTATACTTCCATCCTATCGATAAGGCAATGGTGCTTCACATTGACCCATGCTAGTATCACATTATTTCCTTTTGTGTTAATGGATTCCATTTGTGCAAGTGCCTTACTTAATTAAACTTTTCATATTCTAATTCTATACTAAGTATTGTAAATACATATTCTACTGCTACATACTCTTCAAAGAATGTTCCATTTATAGGATATTTACTACACTAAAGAAGAATCAATAAAGATGAATCCAAACTTCTAGCAAAATAATAATGAATGAATGAATTATAAAATTAATTATGTCAATTAGTTAGGTTGTACTTCATCATCATCTGTTTAAATACAGTTTTCCATTCTTCTCTGTTTTTTGATTTTATTTTCTAATTTCTTATATTCATTTCTTCTAAGTCCTGCTGCACACTGTCTTTCCATCGTATTTTTGGTCGTCCTCTTCTTCTGCTAGTTTCTACTTCGTTCTCATAAATTTTAAGCGGTGCTCCCATATGCGACATTGTTATCACATGCCCAGTTAGGTTGTACTTATTTATAGTTAATGTATAAAATTAAAATTGCAAATATAAATCACCTGTATATAATAAAGATAAAGTATTACTACTACACTCTTCCTTCAATCACCTATTGATATATAAGAGTAGTAATACGTTTGGTATTAGCCTAGCTTGGTTTGGCATAGCTTCATTTCAAAATTTACATTTTAATGAACAGTAGTCATTACACTATATAATATTCTTTACACTATAATATTCACAAATTTCATCAACTTTTGAGAGAAAAAGATAATTTATGAATGCATTCACTGTGGTTACATCCTTTTTGTTTCAACTTTATTAATTTTTCCTTTTAATAAATTTGTTATACTGTAACAAAATAATTTTTATTTCAGTCAAAACTGTTGCGTTCTTTTGTTCTATTTTGAATATTGCATACAATTTATTATACATTTTTTAGGAAGATTCTAAACTTATATAAAAAAATCGTTTATCGGAATGACTTAATATGTATAATTAATTTGAATTATATTACACAATTATTTGTATATTATTAAATGTAAAATATAAATAATTTAAATCATATTAACAATATATTATGATTTTCACATAGAAATATTTTAAAAAATATAAATTGGAAAATTGTTACGAATTGGCGCACTTACAATATAGACACTAATTTACATTTTGTAAATTGTTTGATTTATTTAAAAAAAACAGCATAAAAATATAATTACATTAAAATATCTAACAAGAGTGTAACTAACAATGTTTCTATCACACATAGTCGAGCTGTATGTACATCTGCTTTACTCCCACTGACTCAAAAATCATTCGCGCATGCGTCACTACGTATTTAGGATCTACATTCTTTGATACTTCCAGTTTAATAGCACCAACATATACGTCCGAGCACAATGTCCAAAAATGTGGCTCCTGCACGGCATAAACACCCGCTAACCCTGTAACTTTCTGATAGCAATGAGGTAATGAACGATCTAAATCCGTTGGTTGTCTTTGCATTAAGATCAAGATTGACTCTTTAATAAGGCTAAGCACACTTAATGCTATAAGCAAGGCTATAAAAATTGAGCATATTGGATCCGCAATCATCCAGCCAAACAAATGCATTAGCACCGCTGAGATAATCACACCAACTGAGCCAAGTGTATCAGCCAATATATGCAAAAATACACCACGCATAATTTGGGAATTACTGCCAGAGATGTCGCCGTTCAAACCGCCATGGGAGTGACCATGTCCTTGCTCATGTGAATGACCGTGACCTGTAAAATTTTAATGTAAGTTGAAAAAATAAAAATAGTTTTTTTTTATTAATAAAAATAATTACCATCCAAATCAATTGCGTGATTATTATGCCCATTCATATCAAGTAGGTTGTTGCCATGCGAATGACCATGTCCACCTCCGTGTGAATGTCCATGGCCACCACCTCCATGACTATGGCCATGACCACCATGTTGAAAGGCGTATATACCCACTAAGTTCACAATAAATCCCAGAACGGAAACAACAAAAAGACGTTCATGTTTTACTTCAGGTGGTTCAATAAGACGTTCAACGCCTTCCGATAGTATGAAAAATGAAATAAATAAAAGGAAGAGACTATTTACAAATCCAGCCAGTACTTCAGCTCGTACATAACCGTAAGAAAATTTTTCATTAGCTTTCCACTTTGTAATAACCGATGCAGCCAAACCCGCCAGTAGACCAGTACAATCGAAGAACATATGAAATGAGTCCGAGATAAGACCTGTAAAATAGTATAAAATTAATATTCCATTTCGAAATAGATTTCCTGCCTTACGACATAAAATTCTTAATTACAAAATTGTTACCTAGTTTCAATATTCTTAAATAATTGCGTGCGTTTAACCCTAGGGCTATTCTCTAATGACATTTATTCAAAAAGATATTTATTAAAAAAAGTAATTGTTTAAAATAAACAAAACACATTCTATTTAATATAATAGAATATTGTAATGTGGATTTAGCAATGCATTGTGTTCATAATTTAATATTGTTGTGTTGTAGCTAAAAGTCGACTAGAACACCGCGTGGAAATGTACACAAGAGAGTCCATAATAGGATAGGATGACGGAAGTGATATTGTATAAGATAGAGGTAGGAATAA